TATAAAATAAATTACTCCAATAAATGCAACAATTAATATAAAATTATAAGACAACAAGCGCATACTAATTATGATTTATTTAGGAAACAAGTGATGACAAGTAGCAACTAATTTTGGAGATTAAGGAGGAAATAAACAATTTAATATTTAGTATGCTAAATATCAAGTAGCAGTTAATTCACATAAATCAAATAGGCATGTAGCAATCAAAGAATGGATTCAAGGCATAATATTGAGCAAGGAATATAAGATAAATAATTAATATAACAATTAATTCATGATTTAAAATAATTTATGATTTTTAGATAATTATGTAAACAATTAATTTGACGACGTATAGACACTCGTCACCTTGCTTATACGCCGTTCACATGAATTTCACATAATAAATAATTCAAGGGTTCAATTCCCTCAAATCAAGGTTAACCACAACACTTACCCCGCTTTGCAACCAAATTCAGGATTCCAATAAACCTATGCCTCGCGAATTCGTGTCTGAAAGCTTCAAATCTAGTCACAACAATTCAATATACTCAATACAAATCGTAGAAATTAATTCCATATGAATTTACTAATTTTCCGGATAAAAATCCAAAATTCATTTAAAAATCGACAGGGGACCCACGTCTCGAATTTCGGAAAAACTCACAAAATTTGAACACCCGTTCCGATACGAGTTTAACCATACAAAAATTACTTTCAAATCTTAGATGTTCATTTTTGGAAGATTTTATAAAAATCTGATTTTTCTTTTATAAATTCACGAATTCATGATGTTAATGAGTATGGAATCATGAAATACAATCAATATAGGATAATGATCACTTACCCCAATATTTTCCCGTAAAAAATCACCCAAAAGTCACATTACCCGAGCTCAAAATTGTGAAAGATGAAAAGTGGGGCGAAATCCCATTTACAGAACTTCAGTTCTGTCTGCCCAGGTTTTTACCTTATGCTATCGCGGAAAATACTTCGCGATCGCATAACACATTTTCTGCTCGCGTAAATGGTCATGCAATCGCGGAGAACATTTTCTCATCCTTACGCTATCGTGTACTACCTTCTGCGATTGCGTAGCACAAATGGCATCCCCAGCTTCTCCCTTCTTTCCTTCTACTCGAACGCGGCTTGGCGCTCGCATTGCAGTGCTTTGACTGCTGCCACTGTGCGATCACGGATGTTACTATACGATCGGATAATTCAAATTTTTCATAAGTGACATTAAGCCTTCGCGATCGCTGACATAGTCACGCGATCCCATAGAAGGAAACCAGCACTGTGAAGCACCAGAATTCTAGCCATATTTTCTTGAAAAAAAATGATCTGAAACTCGTACGAAATTCACCCGAGCCATTAGGGGTTCCAAATCACATCAAACAACATCAAAGTTACAATTCACACCTCGATTCGGACTTATGAGTTTCAAACGTTTCAATTTAAAAAACTCGTGCTGAAACATATTAAAAGAATCCAAAATGACTTAAAATTTGGCATAGAAGTCATAAATGACGTAACATAGCTATTTCAATTTTCGGAATCTCAATCTGTGTCTGATATCAATAAAGTCAAATCTATGGTCAAATTTTGGAACCTTTAGCCTTTAGATTTCTAGTTTTCGTTAAATGGTGATAACTTGAGCTATGGACCTCCGAATTCGATTCTGGATATACGTCCAAGTCTCATATCACGATACAGACCTAATGGAACTGCCAAAACATTGATCCGGGTCCGTTTGCTCAAAATATTGATCAAAGTCAACTTAGTTGAGTTTTAAAGCTCTATTTCACATTTTAATCCATTTTTCTCATAAAATCTTTTCGAAAAACTATACAGAGTGTGCACACAAGTCGAGGAATGATAAGTAGTACTTTTCGAGGTCTTAGAACACATAAATTAATGTTAAATTTAAAGATGACATTTTAGATCATCATATTCTCTATCTCTAAAATAAATATTCGTCCTCGAACGGAATTAGAAAAGTACCTGAGCTGGTGAAAAGTTGTGGTCGGACTCCCACGTAGCTGCCTCATTCGGCTGATCTCCCCATTCCACCCGAACTGAAGGATAGATAACTCTTAGACCTCAACTATCGGACCTGCCGAGCTAAAATAGCTACCGGCTACTCCTCATAAGTCAAATCATTTTCCAATTGGACTGAACTGAAGTCTAAGACATGAGAGGGATCACCATGATATTTTCGGAGCATGGATACATAGAATATTGGATGAACTACTAATAAGCTAGGTGGTAGTGCAAGCTTGTAGACTACTTCACCCACCCTTCAAGAATTTCAAAAGGTCCGATATACCTAGGGCTTAACTTTCCCTTCTTTCCGAATCTCATTACACCTTTCATAGGTGAAACCTGGAGCAATATTATTTCTCTAGTCATGAATTCAACATCATGAACCTTACGGTCGACATAACTTTTATTCCTAGACTGAGCTATGTGAAGTCGATTCTGGATAATCTTGACCTTATCTAAGGCATCCTGTACCAAATCAGTACCCAACAACCGAGCCTCTCTCGGTTCAAACCAACCATTTAGCGAACAGAAGTGCCTCCTATATAATAATTCATACGGAGCCATCTAAAAGCTCGACTGGTAGCTGTTATTATAGGCAAACTCCGCGAGTGGCAAGAACTGTTCCCACTAACCTCCAAAGTATATAACACAAGCATGAAGCATATCTTCCAACATCTGAATAGTGCACTCTGACTGTCCGTCTGTCTGGGGAGGAAATGATGTACTCAAGTCAACTCGCATGCCCAACTCACGTTATACATACCTCTAGAAGTGGGAGGTAAACTGCATTCCTTGACATGAAATAACAGACACGGGCACACCGTGAATCCGAACAATCTATCGGATGTAAATATCTGCTAACTGCTCTGAAGAATAGTGTCACGGCCCAAATTATGACCGTGACCGATGCTCAGGAGCTAGTGCTCCCAAGTAAGCCTCATCGGAAATTTTACAGAAAATCGGACAAAGTTTCCCCTGTTTTTGGACCATCCCAAAAAATTTTCATGTCTCAAATCAATAACCAAATATCCTAATCGCAATTCAAATGATAAGGACTTTATCAATTAACCAAAATAAATATCCACCTTCAACAGTCCACCAACTAACAACTAGTAATACTAATTTATCTCTAAATTTTTATAAGAATGAGCGTTACTTAACATAAGTCTATAATAACAAATACTACTTAAGACACTAGAAGAATGACCATGGAGCGACTCCAAGAGTTCAAAGAAAAGACCACAACAATTGATAAAGTTTCCACCCACGCGAACAAGTGCGAGGCTCACCAAGAATTCTCAACCTGTACGCTCTAATTAACGAAATCCTCGCCCGCGTCAACTGCTGTCTCTGAAAAAAATAATTAGTGGGGAATGAGTCGCTAACTCAGTGAGTAATAAATTTAACCACAACCAATTTTATTGGGGACAAGTCAGAAAACATGCTTGTATATTAATCATAAAATAAAATAAATAAAATACCCTTTTTAAAACGGTAATAATAATCAGTCTCATAATGTGTTTCCTGTAACAAAATCACTTTAGCAATTCAGTAATACACTCGGTAAATACTGTATCATAGCAAATCTTTATATTTGGGAGATTTCAGAAAAGGATCATGTAATCTGTATCACTGTATAGACCCCTTCATAAAAGGAGTCAAGTATAACTGTAGGTCCCTACTCGAGGGAAAACTGTAACTGTATGCCAGTTCTACCTTCCCACTAGCGAGAGCCATAACTATAATCGGTAATCGCTAATCTGTAAATACAAGCTGCACCAGGTCTAACGAACCCGCCATTAGCTACGAGATCCTTCAAAGTCTTCTCTCATTTATACTATTTCTTGTAAATAGTAAATACTCGTACAAAAGCATTTTCAAAATAATAAAGGGCAAATCATTCCTTATCAAATCTTGTAATTTTATTTCGGTAACAGTAATCATGTCTCAAGTAACGGTAAAATATATCTAGTAACGGTAAAAATATTTTGATTAACTGGTAAACATCTCAAGTAAACTGTTCGGTATTATATCAAGTAAAGGACTTGTCCCACATGCAATTTCAAAGCATCGGTAATACATTTATTTTTAAAAATCATATATAAACCATGCAGGTTATGAAAACACAAATTATGGTAAGATTACTACTCACAGTACTCGCGTCGAAATATCAAACTCGCCACTTCGAGCAATCCGTATGACTTCTTCAATCTATAATCACATCACATCGACCTCGTGTTAATTGCCTTGTTTAGACTAATTTGTAACTAATTTAGATTACCCAACCCTTTAGATCACATGTTTAGTACTCAATTCGTCAATTTTTTGTCTACCATGCTAGAGTTAACTTACACCAGTCCATTGTCTTCTAATAAAAGGCATTTGTAATGTCTATCATTGTACTCTTTAATTTCCTTAACCATGTGAATTAGAAGGAACTTCAATAATGTTGTTGTCTATAATACTTCTCGCTAGTATTAAACTTTCACTACCCAACCTAATTACATAGATCAAAGGATAATCACAGCTAAATTTGTCGAAATTTATGTTTTTCTTACCTTTGAGCCCAATAGAAATCTTCCACGATTTGTTTGCAGTTCCTCTCTTTCTTCTTGGCTTGACATTAGCTTTTGCTTTTGTTTGCCAGAGCTATAAATTCTTTGTCCCTCTTACTCTTATTCTTTTTCCTTGAGATTGCAAGGGATTAGAATTTCACCCTTTCCCAAACTCTATTCGATGCCCTACAACAATAAGTTTGGGCTTCGGCCCTTCTGTTTTTTTTAAACTTCCTTTTCAATTGGTTGCTTGTTTGTATCTTAATTTATGTATTTTCCAATTATGCATATACCCTTTTAAACTAAAGTATTACATTCTCCCCACCTTATGAAATTCGGTCTCCAAATTTAGCTTAGGTACGTAGCTGTAGACTGAAATAAATGAGGATACTTGACTCGCATAACATCTTCTATTTTTCATGTAGCTTCTTCAACGGTATGATTTCTCCATAAGACTTTAACGAGCACAATTTCTTTTGACTGTATCTTTCTTACATGCCTATCAACAATAGTCATCGGCTCCTCCTCGTAGGACAATTTCTCATCGAGCGGTATAGTCAGTGCTTCAATCACCTGAGATGAATCTAATATACATTTTCTTAGCATTGAGACATGAAACATTGGGTGAATAAAGGACAACTCAGGAGGAAGTGCCAAACGATAAGCTACCGTTCCCACTCGATTTAGTATCTCATATGGTCCTATAAACTTGGGGCTCAACTTGCTTCTTTTCCCAAATCGCATTACACCTTTCATAGCGGAGACTCGTAGGAACACTTTGTCTCCAATGGTGAACACTAAATCTCTTCTTCTTTAATCAGCATAAGACTTTTGTCTGCTTTGAGCTACAAGTAATCTCTGTCTGATCAACTAGACCTTGTCCATAGCTTCTTGTACTAGGTTGGGTCCCAATAAGTTAGTCTCACCAGCTTCAAACCATCCGATAGGAGAACGACATCTTCTACCATACAATACTTCGTACGGTGCCGTTTGAATACTGGACTAGAAGCTATTGTTGTAAGCAATTTCAGCTAAAGTAAGCGTCCCAACTACCTCCAAACTCAAGAATACAATCTCTCAACATATCGTCCAAGATCTGTATAGCACATTCGGACTTTGCGTTTGCGTGCGATATAACTAGTACTAAGATCTACTCGTGTACCCAACATTTCTTGAAAAGGTTTTCAAATCGTGAAGTGAATGTGATCCACTATTAGAGCTGATGGAAAATAGATCTCTATTGAGTCAGATGATTATCTAGTCATGTATATCTGTGCATATTTTACCTCACTATAAGAGATTTTGACTAGCAAGAAACGTTCCTACTTGGTAAGCCAATTTACAACTTTTTCACATATAATCATACCTCTAATGATTTGAGTAATTTAGTCATATAATGTATTGTTCTATTATATTTCCACTTTAGAATCTTGGGTTATTTTAGTGGGTCTGTAAGTCGCAAGTTCTTGCCTTAACATACTGACATGTCAAATATTTTTTTTTAATAATCATGTTGCTTCTTATAGGCGTGAGATAATACAATGTATCTAGAGTTGTGAGGTCCACCACGAATAGCTTGTCTCAACCCATATATATTTGCTATACATAATTAATTACCTAGTCAGAGAATACCCTCACCCTATTAACAGTCATATCCTTGCTTTTTGTCATGACCCCAAATCCCGGTCGCGATGGCGCCCGGCCGCAAGGCTAGGCAAGCCCGACCCCAACAACCCAACTCACGGCATTAAAGCCCAACAAGTAAAATTCATAGGAATTATCAACAGAATAAGATATAAATGCCCAGTCAGGGCCAAGTGCTGAAATAAGACAACTGAACATCAACAAGCTCCCAGAACCAAGGAGTCACGGATGTGAGCCTCTAAGTACAGTATTTGCAACTGTTAACGAAAAATACAAAGTTCGAAGTACTGAAAACATATCAAACTGAAATGGACAGAGTGCGAAGGTCCTGCGGACGCAAGCAGCTACCTCGAACTCTGAAAATACTCTGCTGACCACAGCAACCGCAACTAGGACTCAGTAGCTCCTGTATCTGCACACAAGGTGCAGGGAGTATGGGGTGAGTATGCCAACTCAGTGAGTAATGAAAGCAAATAATAACCCGAAGGTAAGAAAACCAGATAGAGCACTAAGTGCAGCTAACCTCAACAGTACTACAGTATCATCATTATCAGCAATAACATTAAGAATCAGCAATTTAACAAGATATGAGTAAAATGCAATGCAAATGCATGACTGCTGCGGCACGTGCAGCCTGATCCAAATGGGTACCCGCGCTCACTGTGGGGGTTCAGACTCCGGAGGGGCTCCTACAGCCCAAACGCATCAATACTGCGGAACGTGCAGTCCGATCCAATATATATATTGCTGCGGAACGTGCAGCCCGATCCAGTGCATATGCATTAAAGCCACACAACCGTCTCATTTATTAAATCCTTCATTTCAATTATTAGGAAAACCTTTCTTTCGTTAATAATCTAGAAATATGCTAAGGCATGTCAAATTAGTGTCAAAGTTCAGTGTTGAGGTTATTTGATAGACAAGTCATGCTTTTACAGTCATAGAAATCCCTGAAGGATTCTACAGATCGGCACAAGGCCCCAAACATGGCTTCAAGCCCAGCTATCAACAGTATAATAGTACTAAACAGTTATTACACTGTGCAAATATAACTCTCGGATTGGGACCGAGTCACAATTCACATCACTTCCGACCCCGCACTACCCTGGAGTGCGTGTCTAGCCTCACAATAGCATCACAAAGTGATAAACCGGGGTTTCAAACCCCCAGGTAGTCATTTACACCCATTACTCACCTCGAACCGGCCGGAAAACTAGCCCGAAACGCCTTTTCCTTTCAAATCCACCTCTCCGAGCGGTGAATCTGCCCAAAACCACAACGAATACGTTACATGATGCTAATGGAACCCAATCAATAGAACTCGAAAAACAACACAATTCGCGAAAATCACAAAACCCGAGCCTGGGGCCCACGTCTCGAATTCCAAAAATTTTTATACCAAAACGACCCTCGTCTCGCCACGAGTCTATACATATAAAATTTATCAAAATCGGAGTCCAATTGCTCCTCCAAATCATCAATTTAGTTTTCAAAAAATCAAGCCCTAGGCCTTCCTCTAATTCACCCAATTTCAGAGATTTAATGAGTAATTCTTCAATAAAATGATGATATAGGACCCCGAGACTTACCTCCAATGATTCCCCGATGAAAACCTCTTCAAAATCCGTCACTTAGCTCCCAAGGTCGCTCAACAATGGAGAAAATTGAAATAAGCTCGCGGATGAAACTTCCCTTATGTTTTAAAAACCACTGACGCGGCCTTCTATACGATCGTAACACAGCTATGCAATCGCATAGAGCAACTTGAACCTGACCATTAATTCCTTCAGTGCGATCGCACTACTAGCTATGCGATCGCATAGCTTCCAGGGGACCCAAACACTGCGATCACGTACAAACCCTGCGTTCGCATAGAACATACTTTCATCGACCCTGGCCCAGCCTCACAACTCTATGCGATCGCATATCTTCCCTGCGATCACATAGTACTACTCAGGACCCCCAACCATCCTTCTATGCGATCGCAATCCTGCTATGCGATCGCATAGTGCTGCAACTGCTGCTTCCCAATCTGCTGCACTTTACTTCTCCAAATCTTTCCAACAACCACCCGAAATCAACCCGAGGCCCCGGGACCTCAACCAAAGGCACAAACTCAACCTAACACTTCATTCAAACTTGCTCGGGCCATGAAAACGCTATCATAAACATCAAAAATCACCAAAATTCAACAAATTCAATTTCAAACTAACTTAAACTTCTAGAATTCTCATTCAATCAAAAACCCGACCAAACGATGTCCGAATGACCTGAAAATTTGCAGACATATCCAAAATTACCTAACGGAGCTAATGCAACTGTCGGAATTCCATTCTGACCCCCGGATCAAATTCTCACCTATCAACCGGATTCTTCTGAAACTCCAACTTCGGCAAACCTATCTACCTTTCACTCCGGACCTCCGAATTCACTTCCGTTTTCACACACAGGTCACAAATCATCCCCCGGAACTAGTCGAACCATCGGAAATCCGTTCCGAGCCCTCTAACCCATAAGTCAACGTCGGGTTGACTTTTCCAACTTAGGCTTTTCTTAAAGAGACTATTGGTCTCATTTCTATCCAATTCTCACCCGAACCACTTCAAACTCACCAAACACGCATAATAACATACGGGGAAGCATATAATGGGGGTAATGGGACTGAAATGCAATAAATGACGGGTCGGGTCATTACATCCTCCCCAACTTAAACAAACGCTCGTCCTCGAGCGGGTCAAGAAACATACCTGAAGCGGTGATCAAGTGAGGGTATCTGCTCCGCATCTCCTGCTCGGTCTCCCAAGTAGCCTCCTCCACGGGACGGCCTCTCCACTGAACCTTCACCGATGCTATATCTTTAGATCTCAACTTGAGAACCTGATGACCCAATATGGCAACTGGCTCTACATCATAAGTCAAATCATCATCTAGTTGAATCGAGCTGAAGTCCAAAACATGGGACGGGTCCTCAACATACTTCCGGAGCATCGAAACATGAAACACCGGATGAACTCCGGACAGCCTGGGTGGTAAAGCAAGTCTATAGGCCACCTCTCCAACCTTATCGAGAATCTCAAAAGGGCCAATGAACCGTGGACTCAACTTTCCTTTCTTGCCAAACCTCATAACGCCTTTCATAGGCGAAACCTTCAACAACACCTTCTCGCCAACCATGAATGATAACTCACGAACTCTACGATCCGCATAACTCTTCTGATATGATTGAGCTGTACGAAGCCGCTCCAGAATCACTTTCACTTTCTCCAAAGCATCCTGAACTATCTCTGTACCCAATAATCTAGCCTCGCCGGGCTCGAACCAACCAACCGGAGATCTACACCGTCTCCCATATAAGGCCTTATACGGCGCCATCTGGATACTGGATTGGTAGTTGTTGTTATAAGAAAATCTGCAAGGGGCAAGAAATCCTCCCAAGAACCACCGAAATCAATCACACATGCCCGCAACATATCCTCTAATATCTGAATCGTACGCTCGGACTGTCCGTCCGTCTGTGGGTGAAATGCTGAACTCAAGTCAATCTGAGTGCCCATCTCTCGATGAAAAGCTCTCCAAAACTGAGAAGTGAACTGAGTGCCCCTATCCGACACAATAGAAACTGGGACACCATGCAACCTGACAATCTCACAAATGAAAATAGCTGCCAACCGCTCCGAAGAATATGTAGTACAAACTGGAATGAAGTAAGCAGACTTGGTCAACCGATCCACAACCACCCATATCGAATAAAACTTCCTCGCTGTCCGAGGGAGGCCAGTTACAAAATCCATAGTGATCCTTTCCCACTTCCACTCAGGAATAACCATCTGCTGTAACAAACCACCGGTCTCTGATGCTCGGACTTCACCTGCTAACAGTTAAGACACCGAGCTACATAATCCACAATATCCTTCTTCATTCTTCTCCACCAATATAGCTGCCTCAAATCCTGGTACATCTTCGCGACACCCGGATGAATGAAGTACCGCGAACTGTGAGCCTCTGCCAATATCATCTCACGAATACCATCTACATCGGGTACGAAAATGCGACCCTGCATCCTCAGAACACCATCACTATTGATAGTCACATCTCGGCCGTTGCCCCGCTGA